TATCTATAAAGACAAAGGAATAAATGATGAAAACAAGTTATCTATTTTTAAAGATTTCTAGATTGTTATAGTGCTAGTCACGTTGCAAGAATCGTTTACTTTGGCGGAATCCTAATTATAAAACAAAAGGCCGCGGCAAATGAAGCGTATGAAGGAATTAAAAGAATTTAAAGAATCATTCAATTTCGCAATACACTTATTTATTAAATTATTTTAAAAATACGAAGAACACACACACATGTGATATATGTTGTTATCTCGTTGAGTGTTTCATATTGATTGATGAAATTATTACATTATACGAGATGTGACGTAGAGATATTTCTGTATGTTCATCCATGAATTTAATTTTCCTAGTAATGCGATGACTCTCATTATCACATTTTAATGAATACAAGTCACATGTCACTCCTCGATAAAAAATAAAAAAAAATTGATCTACTTATCGCGTGCAAGAAAGAATTAATCTTTAACGTTTCTTAAGTAGAAAATTGTAAAGCTAGATGGTATCAGATAGCACATTGATTAGTATCGATCAAGCTCAGCAAAATGGCGTCTTTTTTTCTACGATAGGAATGTTCGCGACGTATTTCGCTGTAGACGTTTCGATTGTATTCGGATTTTATTTTTCCTCATTTCGCATTTGTGTGGTGCACGGTCGCGAATATGAAAGCGCGTAAACTGAATAAAGCGAAAGCATGGTTGATATGTTGCGAAAAATCGCAAATTGTCGATTCTGATTCGAGCGATCGAGAAGTTGAGGAGCATAAAGCGCGGAATAAAACGAAGAAGCAGCTGGACAACAAAGGAGAGAACAAAGCTGAGGATAAAATGGAGAGCGATGTGGAGAACAAAGTTGAGAACTCGATAGAAAACCAGGTAGACAAGACGGAGGATAAAGTGGGGAGCAAAACGCAGGGTGGTATTGAAAATGAAGTGGAGAACAAAGTGGAGAATCAGAGGGGCAAGATAGAGAATAAACTGGAGGTCAAAACAGAGGACGATGTCAAAATAGAGAGTCAAACAGACGAAGTAGAGAATAAACAGAGGAACAAAACGGAAGGTGATGTCGAGAATAAAATGGAAAACAAAGTGGAGAACAAAGTAGAGAATCGGACAGACAAGACGGAGAATAAACTGGAGACCAACACGGAGGACGATGTCAAGAACAAAGTGGAGAACAAGGTAGAAGATCAAATAGACGAAGTAGAGAATAAAGCAGGGAACAAAAGGGAAAGTGTTATCGAGAATGAAGTGGAGAACAACGTGGAGAACCAGATAGACAAGACGGAGACTAAATTGCAGGCCAAAACGGAGGGTGATATTGAGAA